TAAAACCATTCTTGATACCTAAATGGAAACCATCTTCTCCATAAGGAAATAGAAATGCTGAAGTGGGTATTGTAGTGGTAAATAGGAAGGATGTAATTCACAGATCCGTTTCAGTTTCCCACATTGTCTCTCCAAAATTATATCCTGCTTGTCCATATTATGCTGAAAGTCTCCAACAACCAAAGCAGCCACTTCAGATGAAGTAGGGAGATTGTAAATACGACCATCTTTTGAAGCGATTGTTGATTAAGACCAAAGAGAGCCCTTCACATTCATCTTCGTCATTAAATCGTTCTCTTGCGTTGCGAAATATCTTCACATGCAGATTACTCTCTCTCTTAACATATTCATTATAAACTCCACCAAATCAGGTCTTATTTTACTCTTTTCACCATTTCCGCTGGTTAGTGATAAAAAAAAAAAGAAGAGTAAAATAAAGTTATTAAGTTTCTAATACATAATTAGCATGTTAAAGTAAAATATTAATTATATTTACCTTAATGCTGATAGTCTATTTTGAACCTCGTTTTCAGTATCATGAATATATAACTGAGAGAATTTAGCATTCTCTGTAGCTTTTGGCTACATACTACCAATCAAATGGTAGTTCTCACCGTGTAGCTTAAAATATTTTGGGACCTTTAACTTTGTTGATGGAATTGTCAATCTTTCCCCTAAGAAATGTAAACGAAAACATCATCTCTATTGGCCTAATGTTATCCCGATAATGCTTACTGATGTCATCATCATTTGTGAGCAAACCAAGTAGAAATTCTGGTGGTTCTTTAAGATGTGGCAGCTTAATTTTACCTCTCATACAACAGATTGTGAAAACAGGAGTTCTGCTCTTTCTGGTTTTACTAATTCTTTCATTGTACCAAAAGAGGGCTCCGCATTTTGGACATTCGTTTGTCAGATCTCCATCGTCCTTATACTCTTAAACAACATATAAGTAACATATTAGTAATTTTCAAAAATTAACAAAAATTAATAATAATTTTCAAAGAATAAGGTATTGGCAAAATGCTGTATAATACCTTCTTCTTTGACAGAGACTTCACCCAAATACATAACTAATGCTGCCTCATCAACTTTTTTGATGTATTCTTGACGTTCAAAGATTCTGATGTTCTCATCAGCAAGACCATCTGAGTCACAATGACCATCATCTCCCTTGATAATGCACATCAAAATTTGTCTTATGCTTTACGCAATGTAGAATATACTTTCTACTTAGATTAAATTTTACCTTCTATCTTACACAATTTGCAATGTACCCTTGTATATAAATATACTAGGTGATCGGCCCGCACTATGTGCAAGACTATAAAATATTTTATATATTCAATATATGATTAATATAACATAGTAAAGATGTTTTATTTTTACATGATTAATTATGTATTAATAATAATATTATACAAGCATATAATTAAAAAAATGATACATTAAATGAAAAATATTATATTTTTTAAATAGAAATTGAAGATGAAAAAACATTAACCATGATTTTAAAATACTTTCTTAGATAAAAAGTGTAAATAAGATAACTAAATAAACTCAAAAACATTAAAATCTACAATAATTTTTTTAATTTTTATTTTTGGCCCACACACATGTGTATGTATAATTTTTTAAAAGACATAATTAGTTGTAATATTTAAGTATTGATTAACTTTCTTATATATTATGTAAATTTTATATTTTTATACATATATAATTTTAGTGTTTAACAACAATCACATGAAAGTTTTTTATCGTTTTGTATCTTTTGAAAACTTTTTAGTTTTTTTAGTGTTTACAGTAATATATAATTACAAATATAAAAATTATATTAAATAATATTAAATTCTTATAATATATTTTTTGAATATTATTTATACTATGTTTTTTTCTCTTACACAATATAATTTTTCCCATATTTTTTTTGAAGTATACAAATTTCCTTAACCTATTAATAATTAAACCAAAATGGGTTTTATCATCTTTACGTATCCTAAGAGTAGGTAGATGGTTGGTACGCACGAAATAAAATTATTTTTTTAAATATATTAACTAAAATTAAAATTATACTGCAATCAAGGTTAACAAATTATATGTACCACAAGCTCGCATACAATTTTTACTTTTGTACAATTAATATTTTTATCTACACGCATATTTATGAAAAATCAAAGTATGGCTTTTATGTGTTAAAATAAAATAAGAAAGTATATGTTTTGTATTATATATTTTTATAATGTATGTTTGAATGTTTTTTTTAAAATAATACATATATTTATGCATGTAAGTATGAGTTAGAAATAAGTGAATTTTAATATTCAGGTCTTGGTTAGTTTTTCTGATATTTTCCGCAAATGTTATGTTTTTACACGATGCAGTTTTTGGCTTTTAACAACGATCACGAAAATTATTTCTATTATTTTGTATCTAATCAAAATTTCTTATTTTTCAGCGTTTTATGTTATATGGTTTCTCAATAAAAAAATAATAACCATTTATTAAAAATTTTATGAAATTATATTTTATAAATTCTCTGGTAGCTCTCTGCTTATCTCTTCGTAAAAATGTTTATAGTCTGTAATCTTTCGCTTCCACAAGCTCTCCGTAACTGCAGTGTTTAAAGCAGTTGGATCCAAACTTATATGTATCTTTTATAAAATAAAATATTTAATATTTGACTGTTATATTAAAAAAATTAAGAGTTCTTCTATTCCTAACTTTGATATATTTGTTAATATCAAATATAATGGATCATAACATATACAAAACTTGATTCATGAAATAAGGTTTAATATGTTCTGTGATAACTCAAATTCGATCTAAAAAATGAACAAGAGTTTATGGGTTTTAAAAGAGATCTTTATTAAGTTTTAGCCGGAGCTTGAGAGATACACATATGTTAGGTCGTTAGTATAAGAACGCCGACCTAAACTTTTATGAAAATAAGATCTAGAACTAGAACCATAAGATTGCTTCGTTTTCTCTAGGTCTCCAGAGAATATTTTTGGATGTTTATTAAGAAACAACTGAACCTTGAGAAATGCTGCCTATGTACCTTTTTGAAGGGATCAAGCCAATCGTAGTTCGTTATAAGAGAGTTAGATAGTTGAAATCTAGAGAGAATAAGGTCTTCTCCAAGTGTGGAGATTATTGGATGATTGGAAGATGTTCTGAGAAGTGAATAACTTCTTTATTTATAGCCCGACGAGGTCGGTCTTCTGGAGATAACTTCTCCTGTTGAAATAGGAAAACTTTCTTCTTGATAAGGCCGACCTTCTATTTTTTTTGGAACTTATCAGATAAAATAGAGGTTTTCATTTATCTTGCCGACCTAAATATTTCTTAGGCTTTTGAAGTGGATCTATCTCAATTGATGTAGGGTTTTTAGAGGGGGTGTGAAATCCATCTCTAACATGCATGAAAGAATTAATATGTGTAAGATAGTATTTTTAAATATTTCAAATGAAAACATAAAATAGGTCAAAATTGTTCTTCTTTATTTTTTTATTTTCTTTGACTCATATTTTATTTTTCTTAACCTTGATAATATACTAAATATTAAAATCTTCTCCATTGTAATTTTTTATTTTTTTCTAAGATATAGGTGGATTTCTCTCTAACCTATTTTTATTTTACAGGAAAAAGGAAGACTGTTACTTTTTCCTCCAACTAACATCTCTATTTTTTTTCATAGAAGATTTAAAATAAAGGTAGGTTGAAAATGATTTATACCAAATATATAACCTGAGATTTTTACAAAAAAATAGAGTCGTAAAGATTCATTTTTATTTTTATTTCTACTTTTTATTCATCTATACAGTATTATAAAAAACGTTTGCTAAGAGGATACTAATAATTTATTTTTTTAGCTGTTTATTTTTTGTTTTATTTATAAATTTGAATTCTTGCTTTATAATAAGAATGCATTCACATATCATATAATCTTTTTTTTTTATTTAAAAATAAGATTTATTTAGTTTTAACTTAACCAATCAAAATATTTTGTTTATTTTAGGAAATTTGTCATATCACATTTTCAGGTCATTATTAATTTAAACTAGTTTTTTTTCTAGTTGCGAAACATAAATTTTTTTCATTAAAGCTGCTTCTCAAATAATATTAAGGATTTTCAAATACATATATAATATATTTAAAGTATACATTTTTTTTGATTTATTACAAATTAAATTGAAATATTTTTATCATTTCTATTTATCCTAAGAACGGATAGATTGTTGGCACGCATGTGTGGACATACCAATCACCTCACTACATTTGGAATAGATAAAGATTTTTTTTAAAAAAATATAAGTTGTAGAATAATAAAAATAAAAATTAGAATGAAAATAATAATTATTTGATTTCAATTTTTTATATATATTCACAATTTCATAATTATTATTTTGTTAATTTAAATTTATTAATTTTAATGTTATAAATATAATCTAGTGTATTTATGTTTTAACTCCACAATAATTTAAATTTAAATTTAACTAATCAAAATATTTCATTTATTTTAGTAAGTTTGACATGCTATATTTACATGTCATCATTAAAAAACACTAACTTTCATTATAAAGTTGACAACTCAATCTTTTCACTAAAACTACTTCTCAAATAATACATAGAAAATTATAAGTTATCTTCTATGTTTCGGGATTAACAAATATTTAATTTTAATATAAGTTTTTTAGTATCTACGTAGTCTACTACTTTTTATTTTGGTTGATAAAGATTGTCCATCAAAGATAAAACAACCTATCATTAGTAAATTAAGAATAGTTGTTATAGTTTCATGAATTTTAATTATTCTATAATTTTATGTGGGATGTGCAAATCTACACCAGCTTTAAAATCGGATATATATGTAAATATATATATATATATAATTTTGAAATAATAAGATTTCTTGTTCGATTTGAGTCTTTGTCTTTTTATAGTTTCAAAAATACATCAAAAACTATTACAATCCATTAATTAATCATTAGAAATTTGGATCTGTAAATAATTTTTAAAAATTCTTGAACGATATAGCGTGTAATTTTAACAAAATAAAATAAAATTACTCATACAAATAATTATGCCTCAACCATACAAGTGTAGAGATTTGTAGATGCCAAAAGTCAAAACTGAGAAGTCATGCAATCAGCTTTATTGGTTTAACAGTATAGTCATCTACAACAAGCAAACCTTTAGCGATGTCTCTTAGCTTAGGCTTAAGGATCTTTCCGTTGCTGTTCTTTGGCAGTTCTTCCAAGAACATAACCTTCCTGGGACACATAAAATGAGGAAGATTTTCACGACAATACTCAATCAAATCTCTTTCTCCAATCGTCAATTTTTCTTCCCGGACTCTTTGATTATTATCTCCTTTTTCTATGACAACGAATGCACAAGGCGTTTCACCCCACACAGGGTGAGGCATGGCCACGACCGCGGCCTCTAGCACTTTCTGATGCTTGTAAAGAACATTCTCGACTCCAACACTATTGATGTTTTCGCCTCCCGAGATGATGATGTCTTTGGACCGATCTTTGATCTCTATATGCCCATCAGGATGAATCACACCTATGTCTCCCGTGTTTAGCCAACCATGTTTAAACGCTTCAAATGTAGCTTTGGGATTCTTTAGATACCCTTTCATTATGCTGCTTCCTTTCATGACAATTTCTCCCATCGTCTTCCCGTCGCATGGGACACTCTCGTGAGTATTTGTGTTTTTCACGTCAACTTCCGCTAGGCCTAAGATGCCTACCCCTTGCCTTGCCTTCAGCTCCATATGTTGCTTCTCTGGAAGTCTGTTTTAATTGAGTAATAGAATGTGATATTAAGCTTAAAATATTAAACATGGTTGTAAGTTAAAAAAATTATAAGTCAAAAAGTCATAAATCAAAACCTAAACTAGTCAGGTTATAAAAATTTGGATAGTTCCCATCGATTTTCTGTAGATAATAAGACTTGTTCCTTTAGCCTAGACCCACATGATGAATCTTCCTCTTCCATCCAAACAACCAATGAGCACATGTTTTTTTTTTTAATTTATATTCTCTCTCGCTCTCTAAAAAATGATGTTTGGATTTTTTCCTTTTTTCTTTGTTACACAAATATTGATAGTTTAGATTTTTAAATGTACTTTTAATCAATTAATGTTAACAAATTGTAAACTTCAAAAATATTAATAAAAATTATTTGAATTCTTACATTACTGTTGGTTAATATTTAGTTATTTACTGATAAATATTTAGTATAATGTATTAATAGCTAAACATTAGTTGTTTTTTAGTTTGTATGAAAAAATCTAGAACATCGTTTTTTAAAAAAAACAATCAGAAGGAGTATCAGTTTTGAAAAGTGAACTTTTACTTTTTGCTAAATGTTTACAAAGAGTAATGTATAATATTGTAAATATAGAGTTACGAACTCGTCGAATGATTACCTGTTCCACTCCTCTTGCCACTCACAAAAAAGAACCGCACCGGTAGCCTCTGTAAGCCCATAAACATGCATCACTTGAAACCCAAGCTGCTGGATTTTCTTTACAAGTGTAGCGGGTGGCGATGAGCCTCCAGTCAAAACCTGAACTGGCCTAGATCTTTTTGACAGATCAATCGGATTTCCATGTAGGAGAATGCTGAAGACCGTAGGAACACAACACATATGCGTCACACCATGCAGTTCTATGTTTTTATAGATCTCTGGGGCAGTAACATGCCTGATGCACACGTTAGTGCCCCCACGCGCTGCCACCGACCAAGTGAGCGTCCATCCATTGCAATGAAACATAGGAAGGGTCCAAAGGTAGACCGGGAAGGTTCCCATTTCCCAGCCCATAATGGCGCTCAAAGAGCTCAAATATGCTCCTCGGTGGCTAACAACAACTCCTTTCGGATCGGCTGTAGTACCCGACGTGTAGTTCAACGAGATTGGATCCTGCTCGTTTTGAATACGAAACATACGTGTGACCAAAGATGACGTAGGTTCTCCCCTAAGGATGAGACTTTCGTAGTCTGATTCCTTCGACAAATTCCTTTTAGAGAAATCGGTCTCGTCAATGAATATGACATTCATGTTCAGTTGTGTGTCTTCATTTGGTAGTAGATGGAAGATTTCTTGAGCCAAGGGCTCAAAATTGCGGTCTACGAATAATATCTTGGGCTGAGCGTGGCGGAGGATTGAAGCAATAAAATTTGCATCGAGACGGGTGTTAATAGGGTTGAGGACAGCTCCAGCCATGGGAACGGCAAAGTGCAACTCGTACATGGCCGGTATGTTAGGGGCCAGAACAGATACCTAAACAAACATTTATGTTTAGCTAGTAATTATTACATTCGTTTCATATTTAGATGTTTAAGAAATCTTTTATAACACCTTCCGTAAAGTTAACAAATTTATTTAAAAACCTAATTAAAAGACAAAACGAAATAAAGTTTTTTTAGGCAGAGAGAGACATACGACATCATTCTTGGCGATGTTAAGAGATAGGAGAGAAGCAGCAAGACGACAACAACGGTCATAGGTCTGAGGCCAAGTGAAACGAGTTTGTCCGTAGATTATGGAAGTTCGATTGGGATAACATACGGAAGCTCTCTTCAAGAACGTTATGGGAGTTAGAGGAACGTTGTTTGCTTCACATAACGGCATATTGTCCATCTTCTTTGTCTTGGAGTATATGTATGGTTTTTGTGTTTGTGTGAGAGAAGAGGGATATGCAGTTAAATCTTATAATTTATATAGAGAATTATGAGATATGACCCAACAAGTGGTTCTAAGATGGAAAGTTGGCAATCAAGTAAAAATAAATGTGGCTAGAAAATAGTAACAGAAAATGATTCATTGCTCTAGTATGGAAACGATCTCATGGTTAGCTTGTATGATTGGTGACGATCGGAAATGAGAAAGAAATAAGTTCGAAGAGAAACAAAAATATCATAACAGATTGGGGAACATGCATCTTTGTGTTAGAGGAAAAATGAAAACATTTTTTAAAAACATTTTTTCTAATAATAACCTAAGCCCATCAAAATCAAAGAGACCGTGCTAACGTGAATTCAAAAAAGAAACCCTTTGAAGATATTCTTTAAATTCAAGGATAAAGGCAAATTTCCATATTCTTCAGAGAATAAGGGATATTCATATATTGCAAATATGGAAATATTTACTAAAGGAGAAAAGGAAAATGAGCTCGGAGCAACCAACCTCCTATTCCTATAAATAAGAAAACCCAGAAGCACAAGAAAAAAAACTCATACAATCTAGAGAGCAGCATAGCTAACCTAAAAACTCCAGGCTTTATAGTTTACCGCATAAACACTTTTCTTTCACTTCGGCATAACCTCTCGGTTAAGCCATCTCTTGTAATCGTTTCGTCTTAAACTATTAATAAATATCTTATTCTCCAAGACCCACAACCGTAAATCACAAATCCTAGTAGTGATTTTTTGGTTCAACAATTGGCGCCATCTGTGGGGAATAGGAGAATCAAATTCATAAAACTAGCAAGAAAAGACCCAAAGCGATGAGCCTTCCATCCGACAACAGCGATCTCACCCCCCCCCCCCCCCCCCCCCCCCCCCCCCCCCCCCCCCCCAGAAGATACTACCACGCGTACTGACACACCTGCTCTCGATGAGCACGGCAATCCTATCACCGCGACTCCACCACCCACGGGAAAACACGCAATATTCGACAGTTCCCACATGATAATAGGGGGGAATATTTTAAGACGACAGCTCGCTTAAAGAGATTAAGCTTCATGAAGAAAAGGCAGTAGAGACAAAGCACAATCCAACCGTTCCACAGAACGAAGCACCGGTGGACTTCACAGCAGACCTACAAAGCTCACACACACCGCATATCGACCCATTGGTCATAACATTGCAAATCCATGAAAGCACGGTCGCCAAAGCTTTGGTCGACAGTGGCAGCACCGTCAACATTATCTTTAAAGACACGTTGGTGAGAATGAGCGTAAACAAAGTTGAGATAACAAAACGGCAAAACCGCTAACAGGATTCGCGGGAGATACCTCCTATAGTATCGGTTCGATACAATTACTCACCTACATCGGTGGCATAACCAAAAAGTAAAGTTTGCAGTCATCGACTGCCCAACTATTTACAACGTCATACTCGGAAATCCGTGGATCCACAGCATGAAGGCCGTAATCTTAACCTACCATCAATGCATCAATTCCTGACACCCACCTGCATGCTCACAGTGCAAGGCGATCAATCGACAGCAAGAATGTGCCTCCTTAGCGAGAGAAAGATCAGGATGGCAACTGTGTGCATAGTAAACGAGGAGTTAGACCCATGCCTTCCTTATCACAAAAGACCGAAGCCCGAGCGGGTTATACAGGTAAGCAATGACGAGCAACACCTCGAAAGAATCGTCAGCATCAGCGGCGACCTCGCAGAAAATAATAAAACGGAGCTCGTCAAACTTTTGCGAAACAACGTGCATTTATTCGCTTGGTCTATGGAGGACATGAAGGGAATCGACACTAGAATCACGTTGCATAAGCTAAACGTAGATTATATGTTCAAACCAATTAAGCAAAAACGAAGGAAGATCGGCCCTGAAAAATCCCAAGCAGTAATTGACGAAGTGGAAAAACTACTCGGACCTGGATCAATTACCAAAGTTCAAAACCCCGACTGGCTAGCCAACCCCGTCGTCATCAAAAAGAAGAACGGCAAGGGGAGAGTCAGCGTTGACTTCACCGATCTCAACAAAGCATGCCCAAAGGATTACTTTCCCCCCCCCCCCCCCCCCCCCCCCCCCCCATATCGACCGACTTGTCGAATCAACAGCTGGGAATCAGCTATTATCCTTTACGGATGCCTTCTCCGGGTACAATCAAATCTTCATGCACCCCGACGACAGAGAGAAGGCGGCTTTCATCACCGACAGCAGAACGTATTGCTTTGGACTAAAAAACGCATGAGCCACCTACCAACGGTTAGTCAACAAGATGTTTGCAAGTCAGTTCGGCTGCACTATGGAGGGTTTATATTGACGACATGCTTGTAAAATACGCGGTCGCTAAGGATCATGTTGGCCACCTCAGGGATTGCTTTAAAACCCTCGAGAAGTACGGAATGAAATTACATCCAGCTAAATGCACATTCGCGGTAACTTTAGGAGAATTCCTAGGTTACGTTGTCATCCAAAGAGGAATAGAAGCAAACCCAAAACAAATCTCGGCGATATTAGATCTCTCATCACCCAAAAACACACGCGAAGTACAACGATTAACTGACATAATTTCCGCACTGAACAGACTCATCTCGCGCTCCACAGATAAATGTCTCCCCTTTTATCAATTACTTCGAAGTAATAAACGCTTTGACTGGGACGACAAATGCGAGGAGGCCTTCACACAACTAAAGGAGTACCTGACCACCCCACTGATATTAGCAAAACTGGAGGAAGGGAAAACACTATATCTTTACATCGCAGTCTCAACGGCGGCAGTAAGCGGCGTCCTTGTCAGAGAAGATCGCAGCAAACAAAAACCTATCTTCTAAATAAGCAAAACTCTGGATAGAGCCGAAACTCGTTAACCATCCCTAGAAAAACTCGCTTATACAGCAATTATCTCGGCACGGAAATTACGACCCTACTTTCAGTCTCACACTATTGTCGTCTTCACTAGTCAACCGCTTCGGAGCATTCTGCACAGTCCTAGTCAGTTCGGCCGAATGGCTAAATGGGCAATAGAATTGTCCGAGTATGAAATTGAGTATCGAGCTCGCACTAGTGCTAAATCTTAAGCTTTAGCAGACTTTATGATCGAAATACCGCCGGATCTACTGAATGGTGAAACACCCACAGAAAACCATTAGAACATGTTTGTCGACGGCGCGTCCTCGAAGCAAGGATCAGGAGTCGGCATCTGTTTAAAATCGCCAACGGGAGAAGTCCTTGAACAGTCATTCAAGCTCGGCTTTCCTGCCTCGAACAATAAAGCCGAGTACGAAGCATTGCTCGCAGGAATTCGCCTCGCTAAAGAAGTAGGAGCGAAAAATATTCACGCTTTTTGCGATTCTCAACTCGTTGCCAGCCAATTTAAAGGAGATTACGATGCCAAGAACGAACGAATGGATGCTTACCTAAAACAAGTCCAGGAAATAACAGGACAATTTGACTCTTTCGAACTAACAAAGATACCGCGAACTGAGAACACCGCCACCGATGCGTTAACGGCACTTGCATCAACCACAAATCCAGCACTTCGTCGAATAATTCCAGTAGAATTCATCGAGCAACCCAGTATTCAGCTATCCAAAGGATCTTGCAACATGGTTTTGCATGAGGAAGAAGAATTCAACGACCCAATAGAGGTGGATACCGAACAACAAAAGCAGCCCTGGCAGGACGAGATTAAAGTCTACTTGTCCGAAGGAACAGTCCTGCATGATAGATGGGCAGCCAAACATTTCCGAAGGAAAGCAGAACAATATTTCATTCAAGACGGCGACTTATTCCGTTGGACAGCAAACAAAGTAATACTGCGATGTTGCAATGAGGCACAAGCAAAGAAGGTAATGATCGAGACTCACGAAGGAATATGCAGCAACCATTCCAGAGGAAGAGCATTAACTTTAAAAATATTGAGGCATGGGCTATTCTGGCCTAGAATGATCCAAGATTGCGAACAATTTGTGACACGATGCGAACCGTGTCAGAAGCATGCCCCCATTATCAACACACCCACTGAACTCCTTCAGACCACCATTCTGCCATACCCCTACATGAGGTGATCAAGGGATGCAGTCGGCCCGATGCCTAAATCAGGTTGCAATCAACACATCCTGGTCATGACTGACTACTTTACGAAATGGGTCGAAGCTAAGGAATACCCCAGCATACAGGCAATCGACATCCAGCTTTTCGTATGGGAGAACGTCATATGCCAGCACGGCCTCCCATACGAAATTGTTACAGATAATAAGCCGTCATTCATCTCGTCAACTTTTCAAGAATTTTATGAGGGCTGGGGAATACGCATAAGCTATTCAACACCTTGTTATCCACAAGGGAATGGACAAGCAGAGGCCTCCAATAAAACCATTCTTGACGGTCTTAAAAACATTTAACAGACCTGGAAGGAAGATGGACAGACGGACTAGAAGGGGTCCTCTGGTCCCATCGAACCACTCCATGAACGGCGACGAGAGAAACCCCATTCTCATTATCCCACGACTGTGAAGCTTTAGCACCCGCCGAAGTGCATGTAGCAAACGCTCAACGAACCTTGATGGTTCAAAATCCGCAGCTAAACAACGAAAAGCTAATCAATACTCTGGACAACTTAGAATAACTTCGCGATAAAGCTTTATTGCGCATTCAGAATTATCAGCAGCAAGTCTCTAGGTATTACAACAAGAAAGTCCGAAGCCGACTATTCTCGCTTCATGACCTCGTCTTACAAAAAGCTATAAACCCAACAAAACTCAAAGAAAATTGGGAAGGACCTTATCGCATCATGAAGATCGTCAAACCCGGTGTTTATAGACTTGAAACAATGGACGGGGAACCAGTAGAGCGAGCTCAAAATTCGATGAATTTAAGGAAGTATTATCCTTAGAAAATATAACTCGGCATATGAGTGTGCATTTGTTAAAAAGAACTATGGATGACTTGATCCCATGTTGGGTACATAGGCAACCTTCGGGTCCAGTCACGATCTTGATAAATTTACCTTTATCTTTGCTAACTAGCTCGGTGTTCAAAGTAAAGGGCATCCACGAGTCCAAATCGACTATAAATCAGTTCGGCATATAGAGCAATCGTCCTTATGCGAATGCATTTAACTAAAGTCAATGTTCTGGCCAAACATAC